ATTGTTGAAAATAAATAAGTATTCAAATAAATTATTAACAAATAAACTGTTGTTTAAAATAAACTATCGTTACAATAGGTAAAAAATGTTTTTGTAAGAATGCAGGCTTTTACGAGTGGCGTCTATGTAATTGTTTGTTTCTGGGCTATTATGCCGTGATCTTTCTTGGTTATTACTACCAAACGTTTCAGTTACAACTGCGGCAACCATCTTCAGTGGCGTGGACGAAGTACTCTTCTCTATATATCAACTGAAACTGAATCCTCCTTTACTCCGAGTGTGACAGATCATAGGTAATGATATTTTTTCTTCCTTTCTATTGAAGTTCTTTTGATGTTTTTGTATTTCTATAGCCTCCAAGTGCAATCTGGTCGAATATCTTGATGTTGCTAGCAGGTCGGTGTTTTCGAAAAGGATCTTGTAGGTTTGTCCTAAACGACAACTTCGTTTGTGTTCTGTTATTCGTGTACCAATGCTTCTCTTTGTTTATCCTATGTAAACTTTTTCACAAGTGCATAGAATTATCTGGACTCCTGCTGATGTGAGGGGGTATCTACGGTCTTTCACTGTTTTGAGGTATTCCCTTATTTTCTTTGTTGGCTTGTAGACAGTGCTAAATTTCTTATTCCTTAAGATTTGCTCAATTCGGTCAGTGACCCCTTCTACATACGGTAGATAGGCAGTTCCTTGGTTTTTTGTTCTTTACTATACTCTGTTTTTAAACTAGGAGGAGCGAATTGAAAAGAAGCATTTACACAGGGAAAAGTAACTAGATTTGTTACTAAGAGCGAGTTTCGAAATATAGTCGTGTTCAAAATTTATGAAATAATTATCTTTATCGGCCTTAGTCGATGAACGGCCAATGAGCGGTTAAGAAACGAATAAATGTCATAGAAGTAATTTTTTAATTGGTCCCAGACAACGGTCGCAAATTTCACATTATTGTGATCTGAAATGTGTGTCTAAAACAAAATGTCACTGTCAAATTAAAGTCAATATGGTTGTTGATTGAAATACTTTTTTCTTGCTTTTGAAATCGACTTTTTGAGAATAACTATGATCTTTTTAAAATGGATATTAAATATTTAAGAAAATTATTAATGGAATATCCAGATGTAGCCAGGTTAGTATAAAATATAAAGATCTGTTTACATTTTTAAGGATATATTTGTTATAGGTATAAAAAGTAAAAGTTAATCAGTGAATGACAAGTGGATCACACAGTAACTGGTATCTCTTATATGAGTGATGTGGATATTATGGCTTATTTAGTGTTAACCCATGGTTAATGCGCTAGAGGACAAATAAAGGCATTCAAAAGTTTACAGGCCTATGAGTCAGAATTTGTTTTGAAAACTGAAACCAACATTTTCATAACACTACATGTCAACATATATTTTTTAAAGTGAACTATTCATACATACCTATGTATTAATTTTAAGTATTTTTAAAATATTTTTTGTGAAAATAATGTTAACTCATTGTGCCAAATTAAGATTATCCCTAAAGTAGTAGATGAGTAGATGGTGTTTTAAATGTTATAACAATTTTGTAAATAGTTTTATTCTATACTAATAAATAAAATTTGCTTGAATATTTAGTTTCATTTTAATCATTTTGGTTAGAAATTCATCAATTTTTAGTTTTAAAAAATCAGTAATAAAATTATTTTTTTCTAAAATACTTCGGAATTCATCTCTTCATGGTAATCTCCCATCTTTTTACCTTCAAAAACCAATAATGCATTTTTACAGAATCTTCAGAATCAGCATGTAAAATAATAAGGTGTCTTCCCTTTCTTGTAAGGCTTTTCAAGAATTGCTACCTTTAATAGTACTCAGTGTAGAAGGATCCATAATTGTAGATTTTCAATACAATTGCTTACTGAAGAACTATTATTTACGAAATAAAGTAAAAAACTAAGTAATGGATGAGATATCAAATTATAAAATGTCAGAACTGTCAACAATATCAATTATTAACTGATGTTCATGCTAAAAAGTAATGTGTGAAACTGACTGTAATCTAACCAATCAGAAGGCTACAGAATTGCCAACTTAAATTCAAATCGCTCCTCTTAGTTTAAAAACAGAGTATAGACTTGTTCTTATTCTTCCTTGGGCTCGTAGCAAGGATTATGTCTTTTTACGTATAACACTGTTGTCAGATGTTTTATTTTATCGTTGATGTGTCTTGGTTCACATATCCTTAACGCTCTGTTTCCTAAGGTTTTGATAACCGTGCGCTTTTGTTTTGGATGATGGTTGGATCTATATTGTAGGTATCGATCAGTGTGTGTGTGTTTTCGGTATACTTTGTGGTCTAGTTTGTGGCCTAGTTTGTTTTCTCGGCTGACTAACACATCTAGGAAAGAGTTTTGTCGGTTTTCTTCTATTTCCATTGTGAACTGGACTTTAGGATGAAAACTGTTCCGATGGTTTAAGAAATTCTGGAGATCTTTTCTCCCGTGGCACCAGATTACAAAAGTGTCATGTACATACCTCAGCCAATGCTTCGGTTGTTTTTCAGCAGAGCCTTAGCTCTCTCTTCAAATTTTTCCATGTAAAAATTGTCCACAACTGGACTAAGCGATTCCGTCAAATGTTTGATTCCACTGAAAATATAATGTGGTCGGAAATGGTTGATGAGCTCTGGAAAAAACTCCCCTATGTAGCTGACTACTTCTTCGAGTGGCACATTTGTGATTAAAGAGATGATGTCAAAGCTGATTAGGATGTCGTTAGGCTCTGAGGACATCTTAATAAAACCGTTTAAAAAATTCAAAAAATTCGTTTAAATGAACTATGCATTGGGTATCTCCAATTTATTCTCGTGTAATTAACAAATCGAGAAAAAGTTTTGGAAATGTACGGTCTCTGACCAATTACAAAGCACTGAAAACACTGAAAAATATTGGAAAAACAATAAATACTGACAGAACATCAAATGATTACCGCCCCCCTCATATCCGCCACTGGGATTCTTTCCGCATCCTCTTGTTTATTTATTTTATAGCATCATCGAGTGTTTGTATTCCTTTTGTAATTAACCACAATTTATTTACTTATCACTTGTAAATAAACAAACCTTTTATAAACACAATTTTGATTTCGAAATGATATTTTGGTTTCAGTTACAGATAAAGTACAGTGGCGTAACTGGGAATGGGAAAGTGATAGGTCTAACATATTTTACTTACTTTGAATGAATTGTTGTAGTAAAAATTACTGAGAATAAAAATCAAAGCGATAAAATAAATCAATTTTTGGTTTTATTTAAATAATATAGGTTGCAGGATGCTAGTATATCAAGATAAGTAATGTGATTATCCGTAGAGAATATTGCATTTTTTTAACTGCCCAAATGTTTTGTTTGTACTCTCAGTTTATTTGCATGTATAATTTTTGCTGTTCTTTTTTAACTTATTTTTGTTATAAACTCTTTCATACCATTCATAATCATTTGTATACAGGGAGTTAAAAAAAAAGTGTCACAAAATAAAACGGGGGGTAGTATGGGCCAAAATATGCAGAAAAGTCTTAATAAACCATGCAAATGAATGGTTTCAGAGATACGGAGTGTTTTGTGTTTTGTATCATTTTTTGATTATCTTTTTTCATTCTCAAAAACTTGCTTTTCTTATCGGAGTCTACCGATGTTTTTTCATAGATACTATTTGCAGTTATTATTTTGTTGTGGGTGAATAATTTTATAAATTTTCGTTATGCCTGTTTACACTAATATTGAATTAGCTGACATGCATTTTATGTACGGTCGTGCAAATGGCAATACGTCAGTATTTGAACATCTCATTTAACTCTATGTTGTTATTGATTGTTTATAAATATCATTGTTTTTTTATAATAAAAAAAATTGTTATAAACACAAAATGGTCCGTGTCTCCGAAACCGTTAATTTGCGGTCATATATTTATTAAGACTTTTCTGCTTATTTTAGGTCATACTATTCACCATTTCATTTTGTGACACTTTTTTTTAACACCCTGTATATTTTTATTGCGTATATATCATTCTACAAAATTTTGTAGCACTTTTATTGTTGGTGTATAAAATGTGTTTATTCTAAACTTCAAATTTTTTTAACATTCGTAAAATATTCAGTTTTTTTTAGCGTTATTTTATCGAATATGATTCATATGGATGACTTTATTATTGATTCGTAAATGATACAAATAATGAATATACATTTTGTGGTGAAAATAGAAATTATTATTTGAATTTAATATACATGACTAATATGAATTTTTTTAAAACACATGTGGATGTTAGGTAAAAAACAAACTATGTTAATTAATCAAGATAAATTTATGTTTGTTTAATTAAAAAAATTAAACTTCGTAAAAAATGCTTAGTCTACAGGGAGTTTCAAAAGTTACGTTTTCTAGAAAATTCGATGTACGTTTCTGTTCCTAGATGAAGTAGTTACACTTCCACGACACTTCCCTTATAATAACAAATATCCACAAATTTGCTATTGGTTAGTGCGAATAAAAATTAAACTTCTATTTAAAAATTGTTAAAAAATAGTGATTATGTTCCAATTAACAAAACGTTTAGCCAGAATAAGGGAACACAAAGTTTCTGAAAACATTAAGCAATGGCTATAAATTTAATTTATTAAAACATAGGCCTATTTGTTACCCATAGTCACAAACATGAGCTATACAGTTTTTTTAAGAAAATAAATATATATTCAAAATATCTTCAAAAGAGATAAATCCTTAAATCACTATTAAAACACACTGAAATACTAAAATTACACTTTTTCGGATAACCTCAAACTGTTTTTGCAAAGCCTAGAAGCCTGAAAATTTTTGAATAATAAAAAAAGTTACTTGATTTGTTTTATGAAATTATATATTTAAAAAAAAATAACCTTATTCCATGTAAATTACTATAATTAATAGTTGTTTATTTATTGCTTACGTTTAAAATTATTTGAAACTAATTTGGTTTAATTTTGTTTTTCTTTGGTTACAGCCTCTTCGAGCAGGAGATAATGTCGTATGTCCCCGCCATGACAGTAGACAATAGAACAAATTCAAGTGCCAGGAGTCCAAGAGGTTCGCCTCAACCTTCCCCCATAGCTTCTCCCGGTTTGAGTAGGCACAGGGTGGCCGCCCCTCACAAGAGGGATTTTGAGGCGAAACTTAGGAATTTTTACAGAAAATTGGAGAGCAAGGGGTACGGACAGGGGCCAGGAAAGTTCAAGTGAGTTTTTTTTTATTTGTGTAAATGTTGATAATTAATCTGAGCTTCAAGTTAGTTGTTTTTTGTATAAAATTTGGAAAAGTAATAAACAATTAAATAACTACATTATAACCGGAAATATTGCCAAACTCTGATTTAGTGAAGCGCCTGGAAGTTTTGCTGCAGTGAATAAATGTATTTGATTGAAGTGGAATTTTGGTTTCTGTAATATAAATTGCAGTTTACCAATTTTTTTTTGTAATTTTGATTTTTTAATTATTTAAACATAAATATATAAAAAATAATAATTGAGTAAGAAGTGTACCAATAGATGACATTATAAGAATGTAATTTTACTTAATTAAAAATAATTTTCTTAAAAAAAAAAACAAAAAAAAATCCAAAAAACAAGTGATCGCTCTCATACATTCAGCTATTGAGTGCACTGGGTTCTATTTAGTTAATTTAAATATTTTTTCAAAAATGATAATTTTTTTCTAATACATATATGTACCTGTGTATGACATATAAGAACCACTGCCTGATATGTCAAATATTCCGATAGCTGACATTGTAAGAAATGGTACCAATGGATGACAATAATTAAACAAAGAGGGAAAAATACTAATAAAAATAGAATTTATTAGTTAACATTGTTTAACATATTCTTATTTTACATGTTCTGTATAGATAGTATAAACATACGAGGATGGATCAATTATGAACCGACCTTTCCGGCCTGTGAGTAACATACACGCAGGAGAGAGGTAAGGAGTTTTGTGAGGGGGGAGGGTAGTCTGATGTGTCACGACATGCCGGTATCTCTCCTGCAGCTGCACACACTCACACAGTCAGTGGGTAATTTGGGTATTAAGATGAGCGAGAGACTAGTACCACATTCCGTTGCGCAATGCATCGTCATCAAATTTGTTATCAACGAACGTATTGGTCCAGCGGAAATTTTACAGAGATTGCGTATCAGTATGGAAAATCAACATTGTCCAAAACACAATAAAATTTTGGAATAAAAAATTTTGAGAAGGACGAGATGCTGTGCAAAATGAAACTCACCAATGCCGTCCACGAACAAGCACCACACATGAAAACATTGATGCCATTCGTGATCTTATTGCCACAGATCGTCGAGTATCCATAGCAGAAATTCAAAAAGCAGTGGGAATATGCTATGGGAGTGTTCAATTCATCATTAAGAAAAAACTTTAGTATCGAAAAATTTCTGCAAGATGGGTTCTAAGACTCTTGAATGAACATCAACGAACTGTTCTCGTTGAAATTTCTCAGAGACTGCTGACACGTTACGAAGCGGAAGGGGAAGCATTTTTAGAGCGTATAGTGATGAAAATTGGGTGCACAACCAAAAGATCATGTAAGGAGTGGAGAGACAAGAAGGCGAAGCTGACCCAGTAAAGGCAAAAACTCGTCTGTCTTCGGGTAAAGTTTTAGCCACAGTGTTTTGGGATTATTTTGTTGGTGGATTTTCTTCACGATAGACGAGCCGTTAATGCAGCTTATTATTGCGTTCTTTTGGAGCGTGTTCAAGCAGCTTACCGATCTAAAAGACAGGGCTGTCCGGTACGACAAGTGCTGCTCTTGATGACAACGCTCGACCGCATAGAGCTGTACAAACTCAAGAAAAACTAGCAAAAATGAATTGGACTGTTGTTGAACACCCTCCCTATAGTTCGGACCTTTCACCATGTGACTACCACATGTTTGGTCCACTCAAAGATGCACTTGGGGGAAAACGTTTTGACGGTGATGGTGGAGCAATTTGTGTGCAACTGGTTGAGTATACGACCTCGTTCTTTTTACGAAAAGGGTATAAAAACTCTACCTAGCCGATGGGAAAAATGTATTCGGAAAGGAGGAATGTATATAGAAAAATAAGACATTGTTCATTTATTTTTATTATAATTCAATAAAAAGGTATTAACAAAGGTCGGTTGATATTTGATCCATCCTCATATATAAAGTGGTAGTAAGCTTTTTATTTTTCATGAACACTTGTTACAAAACTTTTAAATACATATCTTAAACATTCACCAATAGAAACCAAAAATCTAACCAAAAGAAAGTGTTGAAACATCCTTTTCATTTGTAATGAATGTTTTCTTTCTTGTGTCAATACAGTTTAAAGCCTTAATACTAATGTCGTCTCCAACCATACATACGTTACGGACAGTGTTGTAAATTGGGCACTGACGATATTGGCCGGACACTAACGTCAGCAGAATGGCCAATCAAATAGAAGATTTACGAAAATGACCGGCCAATATTGTTAAAGACCGAAATATCATCTTTGACCGTAACACATACATATGTAAACTTTTGAACATTTTGTTTGCCTCCTACAAAATTAACCAATACAAAATCACCATTTTTTAGTTCGTCAGTGTACTTTAGGGGCTTAACCATTTCTGTATCTTGGTTGTCTTCTTCTTCTTTTTTATCTTCTTCAATATTCCAGGTTGAATCATCTGATTCTGCATATTTCACATCTTCATCATCTGCACTGGACTCGTATAATTCTAGTTCTTTAGATTTTTATATTCTTGTAATTTATTTTTATTCTTTTTTCTTCCATTTGAATTTTTTCTGTTGAGCTTTTCCCTCTCTTTCCTTTCGTTCCTATTCTAGCATCTTTTCTGTTGTATTCTTGCCATGGTTATGAAGTTATAACTGAAGGCAAAATACTCAATTTTCAATTTTTTAATTTCATTCACTGCAGATCAAGTTCGAGGTTTCCATGTTTTTAATGCCCCAGGCGCTCCACTAATTATTAAACATATAAACATTTAAAATCAATTAACCTAATTAAATAAGAGCTATCCTGTCAATTTATATTTTTTACAATACAAATTTAATATACAAGGATTTTGTCTACATAACGTTAGGTGTTCATAAGACATCAGTCCACTTATAAAGCCTTATTTGTTTTCTTCTAATTTTCCGTTATTCTAAAAGAAATCTTAAAAGAAATTTAACTCATACATTTAAGATTTCAAATTTTCTGTCTCGCTCTACTCATAATAATGTTTAAAGTCAGAGAAAGATAGAGCGAAAGTCCACTATAAAAAACTTTCGCCTATTAACGAAATTAGGTACCACTGTTTCAGAATTAAAACCAAACAACAGTTATTTTCTTATAAAATAATGTCGTCAACTAGGTTTATTTTACTACATCTAACTATACTAAACCATCTGTAAACCATTTAAAGTGACGATGGACCATAAAATAGCGACCTCTCTGTAATAGCCCCATCTTCTTACACATACTTCGCTAATAGCACTTACATTTGTCATATGATCAGCTGAAAAAATAACAAATCTATCATCAATAATTTGATATGTTGATGCAAAATCTTAATTAAGAAAGATAATGGATATTGATTCCTAGAAAAACATTATTAACTTTTCTCATTTGTTTATAATAAGATAAATACAATTATTTTTTTAGGCTACACATACGAAGGGATCATCTTTTAGAAGACGCCTTCCGAAGAATAATGTCCGCCAACAAGAAGGAGCTCCAAAAAGGAAAACTGTGCGTGGTTTGGGACAATGAAGAAGGCCTCGACTACGGTGGACCCTCCAGGGAGTTTTTCTTCCTTCTATCTAGAGAGCTTTTTAATCCATATTACGGTTTATTCGAGTACTCTGCCAATGACACTTATACTGTACAGATTTCGCCTATGTCCGCTTTCGTTGATAATTACCACGATTGGTGAGTAATTTTTGTTGGTATTGTTACATTAAGAATATAATCCAATCAAATAGACGTTTCAATCAAAATTTTGGAGGAAATACAGGAATTTTTGATATAAGTCACTTTAGAGTATTTGAAAACGATATGTAAAAAAAATATTTTTCAGGCACCAGCAAATGTCAAAAAACAAGAAAATAAAGTGTTTTTTTAAGGTTATTTAAAAACAGTATGTGCTATAAAAAAAAGTTCTTTATAAAAATTGTAAAGCATAAAGTTGATATGATATTTGACATTTTTTGCTATTATTAAAACTGACATAGTTATGGTGGTTAGAAACTAAGAGTAGATATATATGATTTAGTAGTTTCTTTTTATTATTTACTCAGAAAATTATGAATGTCTTAAGTTATAACAATTCTAATTTAGAAATTTTCAATATATTATAAGAATTTATATAGTAAAATAAATTTTGAAGTAAACTTATTAACATGAAAAATATGAGGAGTGAACTAATAAAAACGACATCCCGACAGTTTGGTCCCCACTTGAAGTTCCATCAAATAAATAAAAATAAAAACAAATAAAAAAGAACTAAATAAAAATATTAAAACAAAAATAAAAATGAAAATAAAAATAAATAAAAATAAATAAAAATAAATAAAAATAAATAAAAATAAATAAAAATAAATAAAAATAAATAAAAATAAATAAAAATAAATAAAAATAAATAAAAATAAATAAAAATAAATAAAAATAAATAAAAATAAATAAAAATAAATAATGATAAAAAAAAATAAATAAAAATAATTAACTAAAAAAATAAATAAATAAAAAATAAACAAAAAATTTAAATAAATAGTTAAAAAAATAAAAAATAATAAATAAAAATAATTAAAACTAAAAAAATAAAAAACAAAAGCAAATAAAAATAAATGAAAAAAATTAAAATTAACAAAAACTTTAAATAAATAAAAACAGTCTATTCTCTTGTTTTTTGACATTTGCCGGTTCCTGAAAAATAAATTTTTTTTACATATATGACTTATATCAAAAATTCCTGTATTTCCTTCAAAATTTTGATTTAAAGGTCTATTTGATTGGACTAATAATCATATTGACTAATTATTTCTAAATGTTGCTTAAAAAATGCCTAAGTATCGTTTAGAGTTTGAGAGTAACCATTTATAGGCATTTATCATAAAATATGGTGTACCTTTCTGGATCTTTCAAGTAAAAACAATTTTTATTTTCGTCTAATATACAATGTGCCTGGTCAACCAATCCAACACTCACAATAATTTTTATTCAAGCTACCCGTTATAAACCTAAGCTGTATTCGCAAATAAAGTTTTTTATTTGGAATAATAGACATTCAAAATCAATGAACACAGATAAATCCTTAAATCACTCTTAAACGACAATTATTTAAACTAGAATTATCACTTGATGAATTAAAATGGTTTGTTTCACGGATCTGTTGACCTCTCTTTTTAACTACAGATATTTGCGGAAACCTTCCGTACTCAATCAGCTTAATTCACCGAAAGAGGCGCGACCAACCAGAGCGTCTAGTAAAAACGCGCAATAGCATTTTTTTTTAGATAATATGCCGAGAATATATTAATAATAATAATAATAGATTTATGAAATAAATGAAAAATTTCACAAATAATAAATTTTTCATAACACAATACGATACACATAAAACTCGTTCATTTACTATTTAAGTGGGATATATGCATTATTAATGCACACCTTGTGAAACATTGTATAATCACATAGGGCGTTAAGTTTTTTAGTAAGTTTTATCTACGACCGCCAAAAGAAAAAACTATTACTAAAGCTGAAATAGAACTCAGAACCTCCGGTAACGAATGGTCACCACAACCACTGAGCCAACAAATGGAGATAACTGTTGTGCTACAATTTGGCATTTACATGCCAACGAAAGCTAAAACTAAGATATACAGGGTGTTTTAATAAGATATGTCATAAATTCTTCCACAGATAGATTATCAAAAAATAAGTGGATTCGGCTATATTTACCTATATCAAAAAAGGGCGTTAAACTAACATTCAAAAAAACGTGTTTTTTTGTAAAAAGTTTGCTGTTGCGAATTTTTCTTTGAAATTGTTGCCAGTGCTGTAGATTTGAAGGCCCAATATTCTAAGGAGAAAAAAAATTTTAAAGCGACCCCTTTAAAAAAAGTAGGAGGGTTGGGCACCTTTTAACCCCCCCGTAGTTAATTGTTTAAAAAAATAATTTTTTTAAATACTATTAAATTTAATAAATACATTTCCAAACTGACGTGTACCCAACCCCCCAACTTTTTTTAAAGGGGTCGCTTTAATTTTTTTTCTCCTTAGAATATTAGGCCTTCAAATCTACAGTACTGGCAAAAATTTCAAAGAAAAATTCGCAACAGCAAACTTTTTACAAAAAAAAAACGTAACGCCCTGTAACTTTGTTAGGAGCCAAATATAGCCAAATCCACTTATTTTTTGGTAATCTATTTAAGGAAGAATTTATGACATACCTTTTTGAAACACCCTGTATAATACTTGACATTCTATATTATACTCTTCACATTTTAACAGACCTCTTAACCCCCATTTTCAATCAGATTTTTTTTTTTTTTCATAATCTTCCCTTCATTCCCCTATAGAGTTTGATTTTTACAAAAATTTCATGTTGATACCACTTTCGGTGTTTGATTTCTATTTTTTTTATTTTAATCCCCCTTAAACCTCCATTTTGTTAACAATTTTTTTTTAAATCAATAGGCTTTGTCTCTTTACAGAGCTTCATTTTTGCCAAACATTTTAAGCTAATATTATTTTTCGTTTTTGAGATTTTAAATATTTCAACTCCCCCTTAACCATCCATTTTTATTCAGATTTTTTCCAAAATCAATAGGCTTATAAAGCTTGATTTTTCCTGAAAATTTCAATTTGATATCGTTTATTTGTTTCTGTGTTAGGATTTTTTCAATGTTCCCTTATAGAGCTTTATTTTTACTAAAAATTTCATGTTAATATCGCTTTTCATTTTTTTATTTAATGATATTTTTTTTAATTTCATCCCCCCTAAAACCCCAACTTTTATTTTTTTTTAATCGACGAGCTTTTTCTCATTATAGAGCTTGATTTTTGGTAAAAATTTCAAGTAGATATATTTTTTCGTTTTTGCGTTTTTAAGCTACGATTTTTTTTTTATATTTTAACCCCCTTAACCCCTCATTTTAATTCAGATTTTTTCATCTTTTTATAGAGCATGATTTTTACTAAAAATTTTATGTTTATATCTTCATTTTTGATTTACAAAATTTTTAGATATTTCAACCCCTCTTATCCCCCCATTTTATTCAATTTTTTTCAGAATCAATCTTCATTTCTCATTTCTCATCAAGAAGTACAGTTAGTCTTTACGGTAACCAAATTGATTTAGTTAAGAGCGTTCCGTTTTAATATAGCTATCTAATTGCATTTAAGAAAGCCGTTTTAAGGAAAAGTAATGAAATAGTTTTAAAACGCAATATTTACTGACCAAATTGTCCTAAGATCAAGCAGATTTTATAATATGTTTTATTAGTTACATTAGGATAAAAAGATTCCTAATGTAACTACTTAAAAACTAAAACGTCACAATCTGGAACATAATAAAACCAAACAACCTGCAAGTCCTTCATAAAACTAAGTAGTTTTAAGGTTAATTGAAACTAAACCATTTTAAACCTACAACAAGACATACAAATTTTTAAGATTAATTGCTCTTATTAGCAAATCTTATTAGATACTTTAAAACCAGTATTAAATGCTAAACGGCTTTTAAGTGCCTGCAGTTTATCTACAAGGTAATTTTAAAACCAGTATCTTCTTATTTACCACATTAAAACCATTTTAAAACTAAAATAAACCCAAAATGTTTTTATGGTGCTACTTGGGTGACACCGAAAGTCTTCCTTCGGATATTGAAGAACAAGTTTTGAAGGAGTTATTTCTGGCCTAGTACCAAAAAAATCAAGGGACATATTTGTTACTATTATAAAAAGGAGTGGGATAATAAAAATGCGTGCGGTAATGATGCCCTTATTTGCCACAAAATGAGTGGATAAGCGACATTTATTGAACGGTCGTAGATAAAATAGTATTTAATGAATAAGAATTACGTTAATACTTATTTGCCGCGTCTATAATAACTTCATGTAACGCATTATCCTACAATATTTGCATCCTATTAATAAATGTTTTTTATCTTTTAGGTTTAGATTTAGTGGCCGAGTTTTGGGCCTAGCACTAGTCCACCAATACCTCCTAGACGCTTTTTTCACTCGTCCGTTTTATAAAGCCTTACTTCGACTGCCCGTAGCCTTATCGGATCTCGAAAGCCTAGACTTCGAGTTCCACCAAAGCCTTCAATGGATAAAGGAACACGACGTGTCGCTCCAGGGTGAGCTGGAACTAACTTTCGCCGTGACCGAAGAGGTTTTCGGCCAGGTGTTGGAGAGAGAGTTGAAACCAGGCGGTAGGAATGTACCTGTGACGGAGAAAAATAAAAAAGTAAGTAAAATGAACAACAACTTTAATCATTCATATTTTTTTTTCGTTTAGTAAACATATTTACTAGTAGTGCATTTGTTGTTTCAGACACTAATTATGTAGAAACATTTAAATTTATCTGCTTTTGTTCTATAATCACAGAATATAGTTATAATTTCTGACTCTCATAACTCAATGAATATGTAGATAGAACTACTAAAGAAGTCAGTGTAATGAGAGCTGATCATTTATAACCGGAGCTCTATTGATTTTACAAAAAAAATACTTGCTGATTATTTTTTGTTTTTGGTGAACTATTTTATTTTTTTACTATCAACAAACTTAAAACGTACATAAAAGAAGTCGTTATGTTCTGAATCGAATTCTTATTGAAACAAAGCCTCAGTAAATAAGAAAAGAAAGAATATTTCAAGTCTATACAGGGTGTAATTAAATAAGTGTAAAACATTTAAGGGGGTGATTCCCCATAGAAAAAAAAGATAGGATCTTTCATATAAAGAAACTTCATTGGAGCATCCCTTGTTAACATACAGACCCTTAAAGGGGCTATCGGAAATACATTTTTAAATGGTAAACAAATAAGACAAAAAGTTACGTTGGAACGAAATTTAGGGGTTGAGTTTTCCACCCCTTACAACCATGGGGTAAACCAAATAAATTACTGGCTAAGTGTCTTTTTGGTAGTAGAAAATGACAGATTAATTTCAATATTGTAACTTGTTTAGTGCTTGTGAAAAAAATTGTTGAACAAATTTTATGTACCCCCTTTAAGCGGCTGTATCTTAACAAGGGATGCTCTAATGAAGTTTCTTTATATGAAAGATCCTATCTTTTTTTCGATGAGGAATCACCCCTTAAGTGTTTTACACTTATTTAGTTACATTTAGTGTATATGTATTATTTTGAAATTAAACTCTTTTGACTTTACGTTATTTAATTTAAGTCGTAATGGCATTGATTGTCAAAGCCAGGTACATAGTATATAACGTGTAGGCCGTAGCAAAGAATATAATATACAACAATATACTTCAAAATTTAATAAATCTGACTGCAAAAATGTGCTTATATGTATGGACTCTTCTAGTGCTATTCAGATAATACAAAGATTAGGTATACTATCCTGTTCAGATAGCTGCAGTGTAAATATTAAAAGTCAGATTTACGATGCAAAACTTAAGAATATAAATATTACTTTTGCGTGGATACCTAGTCATGCGAATATAAAGGGAAATGTCATAGCTGATAAACTTGCTAAATTAGGACTTAACAAACATTATTCTGACGTAATGACAATGGATTATAGAAATATGCTACCCAGAGTTAAAAATAAAATTTGGGATGATTGGAGTGAAGAATGGCGAGAACTGAGTCAAACTAAGGGAAAGCAACTTTTTAATATATTAAACAAACTGCCTCGAACACCCTGGTTTTTTAAAATTAAATTAACAAAGGGACAAATCGGTACAATGTGCAGAATGAGAATTGGTCACTGCTATAGTTCTGCTCATCTGTTCCGAATTGGTATCCATGACTCCCCAAGTTGCAGCTGCGGTGAAATTGGAAGTTTAGGTCATATCTTGATGGAATGCAGTAATAATACAGACAATATAAAATTCTTATACCAAAAAATGGTTTTAGCTTTTCGACCCCAGTATTCCCCTTTATGTCTAAATGATTATTTACGAAAACCAATTTGCAGTACAGCCATAATCACGTCATTTTTAAAATCTTCTAACATTAATTTATAAAAAATATTGTTCACCTTATTTTTTTTAATTTTACAGAGCCAAATAGTATTTTAAATTTTATTGTATTTATTTACATGTAACTAATGTTAGTGCTGGTTAAATAACTTGTATAAGTTGAGACCAATAAAGGAAAAAAAAACTCTTTTGACTTTACGTTATTTAATTTAAGTCGTAATGGCATTGATTGTCAAAGCCAGGTACATCACAATGTAAAGTCAATTCTTTCTATTCTATTATCAATATGTCTATCTTTCGAATTTCGAATTTGAATCCCAATTTCCCTCAGATAAATAATCTAAAGGAAATTTGAGTAGTTTCCCAATACCAAAATAAAATTAAAATTACATAATGTAATTTACTATTATCATGATAGTTTTTATACTAGATTCTAGTTGATTTAATTTTTGGTGATTTTCGACATTAGATTCCGGTGATTTTAAATTAATTTTTCTTACAACACTTAAAGAAGCACGTAGTTTGAAACAACTAACATTTTCTTTATTTTATGTTCATATTTGAGTTAAAATTATTTTCTCTTTTTTAACATTTTGTAATTCTACAAATATTATTACCATTTATTAAAAAATATATCAGACGCAAATGGGAAATTAAATACCCTAATCATGCGAACGCATCAGTATACATCCAAATCTCTCTAACACATCAATTCATTGAATTTAAATATCAGTCATCCATAAATACTCGTTTAAAACCTAACCACTGCCGATTCCATGCATATTTATATAAAATTGGAATTTTGGATTCTCCCTTTTGCAATTCATACTGCAATATTCTAACCTCCTGGACCCAGTCAGTGGTTTTTAAAATGACGAAAAGCAGAATGTAGTGTGGGGAAAAATGTGTATGTCTACGATGGGTTTGGATAGAGACACACTCAGCTTTTTGTTTGTCTGCTAGTTTTGACTAGTATTTATTAATGTATTTGAACATTTAATAGTTTGAATAAAAATAAAAGAAAGATAATAATATACAGTCCACTATTTGCCTAACACATAGAATAAAGTAGAGACGACAAACACAGTAGTAAATAAAAGGGGCGCCCTGGCTCAAGTAACAACCGGTTCAAACATCAAAAAAATATATATTTAAGTAACAGAAAATTTAATAAGACAACATGATATAGACTATAACATACGTAACGTAGAACGTGACATAATGTAACGTGACATAACGTAACATATGTTATAGTCTATATCATGTTGTCTTATTAAATATATATTTTTTTTATGTTTAAACCGGTTGTTACTTGAGCCAGGACGCCCCTTTTATATACTACTTAACACGATTTTGCTATATGACAGATGGACGCACTTAGCGATGCCTTACTGACGGAGAAGCGTAATCAAAATGGCGACTTAGAGTCGTATTTTGATTTATTTGAAGTCAATAATTTTATATTTGAAGATTGACGGAATGAAAATGTTTTTATATCATTAAAATGAAGCTATTTTAAAAAATGGCACTTATTATCACCTAGGGTTGTCATTCGTCCCGATAGATCTGGACTGTCACCGATAGTGACCATCATGTCCCGACTAGTCTGCAAAAAATTCCTAAAGAACCCCAGAATTAAGATAAAAAATCCGAACTCCTCAAAATGTGTCAATATTTATACAAAATTATTATGCCAGAAACTATTGACCATTTTGCATTGCCAATACATATAATTTTAAACTGGCATGCGTGGAATTTTAAGATAAGCAAATTCTTCTCAAAAATATTCAAAGTCAAGTTCCAGTACTTCTAATTATGTAGATATAGATATTATTATTTGTATGTATAATATGTTGAATTATTATAATAATGTGTGTATGTATTTTCATGTATTAAAATTTTTTTTACACATTTGAATTTTTAAGTTTAAAAATGGTTTATGTCCTGATAAAGGCTGGAGAAATTATGGCAATCCTATTCTCACCAAAAACTAAAAGTTAAACTAAAAAGTTAAGTCAAAAATGATTGATGAACATAAACAAATGGTTTTTAACAAACAGACTTACTATAATGTGCAGTAAAATAAACATGGAATTAACTGCCTGAGGAGATTACACTTATCAGAGTCTTTAGACTGATTTACAAATATATAAGTAAATTTTGTAAAGTGTTTGGTAATTTTTATCAGCAGACTTATCATTCCCTATATTTCTGGTCATTCTTATTTGTCCTGTTCCATCGGGTTACATTCTGGTGCCATTCTCTTCTTCTTTATTGTCAACTGACTCACGATAACTTGTATTTTACATGTACATATTATTTAATGTTTTAATAATTTTATGTTCTTCACCCTTAGTATCCACCACCATTAAAATATGTTCGTGGCAAATTAACTGATCTAACTAATTTATTTATTGATAATGTCTATTTCTACTGTTACAACCATATTCTACATATTATATAATATAAAATATGCAAATGTAATAAATTATATATACGGTCACACACAAAGTAGTGCATACATACCTACAATGCTTCAGTCTTTATTTATTGCTATTCATGTTTATTTATTACATAAATTGATTCCTTATTTGCATTTTACTTATTCATTGTTAAAATACTATTACTATTTTTTATACTTTAGTATACCCAAGGACTAGATTTTTGATTTATCTAATTTTTTTTTTTCAATGGGCGTGCTCATAAAGTGTGTTCCTAAATGCTTAAAATTCTATATAAACATGTGCTTTAAATTGATTTTTTTTTAAGAAAAGGCTTGTTAAAAATATCAAAATTAAATTGTCCTCGGGGATGCCACTGGACTTAACCATTTTAATCTAATCAGATTTTAATTATCCTTTTACTTCTACTACAAACAAACTGGCCAAGTTTAATTAAAATCGTCCAAAGAGTGTTTGAAATATTAATGAAAGACATATATATTATACTCTGTGTTTCCTATAGAGATCAACCAAAAATATTTTTTGTGACAAATTGCGTGAGGAATAATTATTAATTTGATTTTTTATGAAATATAGGGTATTCAAAAAGTTTGGATTAAAATTGTTTTCTTAACCTTTGATTCGACGTAATTTATCGAAATAGACGATTAACTAATATATTTTATTTAAAGTCTTTACCGTAATAGAAGATATTTAGAAACATATGTATTTATGAAATTTACTTTATCACCCTGTAGAACGAAAACTGGGACGATCACAGGAAAAGTATATCTAGCTTTTCTTAATAATTAGTTAAGATCTACAAGTCCCTCTGGCGCGGTATTTATTCTGACACCCTCCATATTTAATTTAACACCCTGTATCTTAGAAAAAAGCAATATGGAAGACATATTTATATGAAATTTTAGTACATCGTATTACCTTCTTTAATATTGACATGACGTGACTATTTTAAATTTTTAAAACTTATTTTGTTTTCTAAAAAGAATATGTTGTTAAACTTTGCATTGGATAAGAGATATTTTTGTTTTAAACCCATTTAAGGAGCAATTTAATATAGAGCACTGATGATAGCAGTAAACCTGCTGAAACGTAGGCAATCAATATTGTAATAGTTTTCTTACAAGTATTAGAAATTAAAAATTTTAAAAAACCGACTTCAAAAACGTGCAGATGCCATCACCACATCTTAACCAAATTTGTATGGGACCACCCCTTACTAACAAAAAAGAATCATATAAATCGGACAAGGTGGTAAAGCATTACCGCTAAACATACATAAAAAATGAAGAGTTTGAGGATTTTCTCATGGATCCAATTATCAGATTTTGACCAAATTTATATGGTACCACCCCTGAAGTACCCCCTTTCTAACAAAGAAAGAATCATTAAAATCGGAGACCGTGTTAAAGAATTATTGCTGAACATACATAAAAAAAAATATTGCGACGAATTGAGAACCTCCTCCTTTTTTGAAGTCGGTTAAAAATACAAACCTTTCCCAACAATCTAAAATAAAATAAGTTTTAAGATCGGCAAACACACGGATCACATTTATTTATGTATAAATTGCTTATCTCTAGATTTGGATTTGTATAATTCTTTTTTAACAATGCAATTATTAAATTGTCAACAATGTTTCCCAAGAAATTAATTTTTTTTTTTTGATAAAAGATAATTCTACTAAACTGAGATTTATATCAGAGGCCAGGAGATAGAGTAGATTTACCTGTGAAAAATTAGAATAAAGCTACAAATTTTGAAGTCCTGATGATTCCCTTTCCATTGCTCCCGGGATATCTGGCTTGCATTTCTTTAGGGAGTTTTCGTTGAAAAGAAATTCGATTTTTTTTAGAACGCTATGCAAACGGTTAGTTTTAAATGAAAGGACCGATAATAACATACGCAGTTTTGGTGCGGAGGCCAAAGACACAGCAAAGGAAAGCAATAACGAGGCTAAGCAAGGTACAAAGACTTGCCTGCCTCGGAATAACGGGGACAATGAAAACAACCCCCACTGCTGCAATGGAAGCACTAATAGGACTCCCATCTCTTCACTATGTGATACAAGGGAGGCAAGATTACGTGCTTAGAGATTAGGGAATACACTGGGAAATCTTGACATTAGGCCAGGTCACATGAGTACCTCAAGGTTAGTGACAGGAGACGTGCTAGACATGAGATCAGACCACATAATCAATAGGTACTCTTTTAATACTCCATTTGAGGTTTTAATACAGGAAAGAGCGGATATCACCATAAGGGAGCCAATGCCCAACGACAGGAACAAACCTGGTATACAGACGGGTCTAAGACTGCGGAAGGCACTGGGGCGGGATTATTCGCCAAAAACCCTGATACTAACCATAGCTATGCTATAGGAATACATTCCTCGGTAGTTCAGGCCGAGGTATACGCAATTTTGCAATGTGCAAAAACGAATAATGTCAGACAGCCAAGCGGCACTTAAGGCCATATCGAGTCAGAAAGTTACGTCGAGGCTGGTATGGGAATGCATCGAAGAACTAAGAACACTGGCAGACCGAAATAGAGTAAAACTATTTTGGGTGCCAGGTCACCAAGGGATCGAAGGCAACGTAAAGGCTGACGAACTTGCAAAAAGAGAGTCAAAAGAAACACCGGAACCAGACACAAACCCAGGAGTACCAAAAAGTGCAGTCCGGGGTTTCATAAACGACTGGATTCGGGAACAACATATCAACTATTGGGGAAGCACCCCAAAACAGGCACATTGAAATGCCTTCATAGGCAGACCATGTCCCAAAAAGAACTGGAGAACTACTCTTTATGAATAGGAACCAGTTGAAAGTAATAACAGGGTTCATGACTGGGCACGCCCCAATAAAGGGACACTTGAACAAAATTGGCATGTACAATGGGGAACACATACTGTGCAAATGCGAAGCTTTAGATCGCAAAAGACAGGCACTTTTTGGACAACCCCAGGTTGATCCAACAACGTATAGAACCCACTCACCCAAGGATCTGTACAAACTTGTACAAGGTACAAAGGTGACAGAGTGGGTGCTATGAACTAACATGGGGTAAAACACAATAAGCCAATAGGCTTCAGCAGGGGCGGCTTGTGATCAAAATTTTGAGGGTTCACAGTAGGAGAATATAGATTCCGGTACAGATATAGGTAAAAAACTGTCAGTGTTTTAGAAAGGTATATTATAAGCTTTCTAAAACATTGAAAGTTTTTTCATACATCTGTACTGATACCTATATTCTGTCACTGCGTGAACCACCCCACGAGCCGCCACTGGGCTTCAGTGTTATTCGGAGACTAGTCAGACGAGCCCAGGAGAAAAAAAAAGGATCATCAGGACTTCATATTGGACCAACATAGCAATTTGTAGCGTTATTCTATTTTTTCACAGGCAAAACGAAAACTCCTGTTTTGGGCACTTTATTGCTTGTACTATAAGATGTTCTTCACTAAAATTATGGATGACAGTCAAGAATTTAAATATTCCATGAAATATTGTTTCTATGGTAACTATATCTGGTCGTTATAGCAACTTCTTTTATTGACATAACAACGTCAATTTCGCGAAAGTTACATTTTTATAATTTATAAGAAAATATGGTTAGAATTACTGAACAACTAATAAGAAAACGTGCCGAACACAACGAATGCATAATAGGAACCTTAGAAGAATTATCGCTACATCAAGAAAATATAGATAAAATAGAAAATATCAACAATTGGTGCAAAGAGATACAGATATTGTATCTGCAAGCTAACGTTATATCTAAAATAGAGAATTTAAACAAATTGAAAAAGATGCAATATCTTAATTTGGCCGTTAACAATATAGAGAAGATTGAGAATTTGGAAAGGTGCGAGTCTTTAGCAAAATTAGATTTAACATTAAATTTCATAGGTAAATATTGATTTTTCATTGAATTACAATACAAGCAATATGTACTCATCTAAAATGAACATGTTTTTGTTGGTGTACAAAATTAACGAAATTTTCTAATTTAAATATAAACGACATAAATATAAATAAGTTTTAAGATTTCACATAATAACCATTTATTTACATTTATAGCATTTAAGAATTATTGATATTCTGATGAGGTCTAGAAATGAAGTGAGTATAACATTAGGAACGTCGGATTTTTTAAAAAAGTGTTTGAACACTAAAAAAGTACTTATTTTACAAATTAATTTTCAAAAAAAAATTGCTGCAAACCGACAATTTCCGAGAAAAAATAAATCAAAACTTGCATTATTTTAATGTTTCTAATCTCATTTTTATACAGTTTTGCCAATAATTTTAGTTCAGTTACTAACAAGAAAAAATACGTAAATATTATTGAAAAAGGGTCAACTTTCGTTTATCCGAAATCAGTTACGTAAAAATTGTTGCCATGGCAACCAGCAAAAACTCAAATCTCGTGGTGAGGAAATGCATAGTTGCCAAGTTATAGATTATTTAATGTTCACTTTAGTTTAGACGAAATCAGTTATGGTAAAACTGTTGCCATAGGAACGCTTGACATAGTAACGACTAAACAAAAAGCCAAATCACATGGTAAGGAAATAAGTGGTTGCCAAGTTACAGATTTAATTTAGCTGTAATCGGTTACGGGGAAACTCTTGCCATAGAGACACTTGTCATGGTAACGACTAAACAAAAACCCAAATCCTGTGGCAAGAAAATGCATAGTTGGCAAGTTAAAGGTCATTTAATTTTCACTTTAGTTTAGCTGAAATCGGTTATGGAAATGTCGTGATGTCGACTAAACAAAAACCTAAATCTAGTGGTGAGGAAATGCCTAGTTGCCCCTTATATTTAAATTAACTCTTAACGCAATATTCTAATCTAATCTAAAGTGAAAATGAAACCATCTATAACTTGGCAACTAGGCATTTTCTCACAATAGGATTTGTTTAGTCATTAGCATGACAAACGTTTCCATGGCAACAGTTTCTCTATAAGATCACGCTACGCTCCTCCCTCCCACAACCTAACTACTACAGAGGAAAGCAAACGAAGCGATCGCGCCCGGCCGACGTCGACCGGGCGCGCCCTTTTTGCACCTATATCGTAGGATCACGCTACGCTCCTCCCACCCACCTCTTATCTACTACAGAGAAAAGCGCGCGTAGCGAGCGTGCCCGGCCGACGTTTCGAAATTCCGGCCGCGCTCTTTTTCCACCTACATCATAAGATCACGCTACGCTCGTTCCACCCACCTACTAACACTTGGCAACTACGCATTTCCTCACCACGAGATTTGCGTTTTTGTTTAGTCATTAGCATAATAAGCGTTTTCATGGCAACAGTTTCTTCATAACTGATTTCGGCTAAACTAAAGTGAACATTAAATAATATATAACTTTACAACTACGCATTTCCTCACTGCCGGATTTAGATTTTTGTTTAGTCCTTAGCATGACAAGCGTTTCCATGAAAACAATTTTTCCGTAACTGATTTCGGCTAAACTAAAGTGAACATTAAATGATCTATAACTTGGCAACTACGCATTTCCTCACCACGAGATTTGGGTTTTTGTTTAGTCGGTAACATGACAAACGTGTCCATGGCAACATTTTTTGCATAACTTATTTCAGTTAAATGAAATTAAACAAAAACCGTAATTATCTACAACTTGGCAACCATGCATTTCCTCACCATAAGATTAGGGTTTTTGTTTACTCATAGCCATCACAATTGTTATTATGACAACAGTTTTTGCATAACAGATTTCTGCTAAACGAAAGTTGAGCCTTGAAAAATTCTTTAATTCTAGATTTATAAAAAAAATAGGCAAAGAATCGTTAAAAATGAAAAAAGTCTTTATTTGAAAAATAATTATCAAAAATTGACCTGAAAATTCATAAAATCCAACCTTAAACAAAAAAAAAATTAACTAATTTACTAACCTGTACGATCTGGAGCCAACGCGGGTTGCTTGAAAAAAAAAATATACATACAAGTTATAAAAGTAATTTTAAAAAACCGACTTCAAAATCGTACAGATGCCATTACAAATTGAGAAAGATATACATTCAATAACAAATATTAAAAAAAAATGTGTGACCCGAATCCATAGCGAGTTCCTTCGAAAAAAAAATATATAATAAATGAGAAAATTTAAAAAAACCTAACCTGTGTGGCCTGGATCCATCGCAGGTTGCGTGTAAAACAAATTATACATAAAATATGAAAAATAAAAAAAAACTAATTTTCCTAACCTATGCGTCCTGGAGCCATATACAAAAAAAATATGATTCGTTTTTTAACAGACATTGTGATAATTTATGTATATCAAGCGCTAACTTGTCCACTTTATTTATATCACACGCTAACTTGTTCTTCGTCGTGTATTTGTCTCAGCGCGAATTTGTAGCAGCAAATGCTTCCCACGCGGAATCGTCTCGCGCTAAAATGGATCGGACCCAAAAATGTTCTTTATATCACGTTGATTGGCTGAAATATTAATAAAAATCATGGGCGAAACAAATGTCTTTCAATGCAAGCATGTATCAGTTAATCGTGCTTTGCAGTACTTGTGTTTTTGGAATTTCTTTTATATAAGAAATATTACACAACTTGGCAATAGTGTGCGAGTGTTGCATTATTCTTTAATGTCAACTGTCAAATTAAGCTGAGTTAGTCAAAACCAGTTGTCACTGCTACCCCGGTCGGGGTATTTCTTCCGCGCTACCACCTTGCTAGTAAATCTACCCCGACTTAAGAAAATGTGCATAAACATTATGTGAGATTTGATCTCTTTCAATTTTTGAAAGCACCATGTTTTGTCAAGTTAGTGACCTTCCTTTTTATTTTTATATATTTAGTTCGACCCAAGGATATTTATAAAAAGTTACTGGTTTCTTTTTTTTTAATTTTGAAGGTTGTATAAGTAATAAATGTCTTTTTTGTTTATTCTTTGTAATTTTAGGGTTAAAAATTCATATTTTTGTTTTTGTTGGTTATGTTTAATGTTTTTTATTTATCTTATTCTATTTAATATTTAGGATGCTTTGTTTTTCCTATTTTTTACATATATTTACTGTTTTAAAGTTTTTTAATTTTTGTTTAAAAATATTTTACTTTACCCTACGTCATTTTTGTTTTTTTTTTAAGAAGTTATATTTATTTTATTTTAGTTAAAAAACTGATGTTTTTTAAACTCGCCATCATTGATTTTAATCAATATTATTTATTTTCTATTTGATTACGTCAGATTTATAAAAATTACCCCGGAGAAAACAGATTTTTAGCGAAAAAAAATTGCTTGTGGCAACACTGGTCAAAACTAACCTAGAAAATGAATTATTAAAAATAAAAAAAAAGTTTATCAGGCAACAAAATGTCACTTTTTATAAAATTACTTTTTTCCCCGTTTCCCGGGAAAAAATTGAGTACTGATTTCCCGGAATCATATGGAAAACTTTTTTATTAATAATTTTAGGAAAAAAAGTTATTCTTCATAAAAAGTTCTGCATTATCTAAAACCTAAAATACAGTCATCACATATCAAATTGTTCAAGCCGTATACGTAAACTCTACACTCTACATATTGATTGTAAATATCTGAAAACTTTATAAATTACGTTAGCTACTATAAACATGATACGCTTTCCTTTTGTTGATGTTTGTGAAGAATTTAGCAAATTTCTTAATGAAAATTTTCGATTTTGTAAAAAAATAAACGTACTTTACTCTTGAGCAAAATTCATATTTTTTGACAAACCTCGTATACGGCTTGAAAAATTTGATATCTGATGACTGTATTTTAAGTTTTGGGTCATGCAGGACTTTTTATCAAGAATAACTTTTTTTCCTAAAATCAATAATAAAAATGTTTTCCATATGGTTCCAACTTAAGTAGATCATATGCAAGAAAGTATTCGTTAAAAGGAAATCGAATAATTATAAATTGGACGTTATTATACGCCCTTATTTAGACAGATGCACTTAATTGTAATCTTACTTGGACTTAAAAAAAAATCATTATAGCTCGTTAACTTGCTACAACTGAATATTAAATTATAAAACGTAAAAAAGCGAGTAAATTGTACCTGCCTGTAAGGGCGTTTGGTTTAAACAGGGTACCAGACGTGAACTGAACCCTTTTTGTACCCCATTCGTTCTTTTTCTGGAAAACGAAATTTCAAAGAAAAAACCATAAAGGAAAATAAATTCTTTGCAAATAAAACAAAAGAAAAAAAACAATTCAATTCTAAAGTATCTTTATAAATAATCATGGCAGTCTGAATCCTCTGAACTAGAGTCATCATTTGGTTGAATTATGATGGGTTGTAAAGAAGGTAATACTACATACTCATCTTCTTCTTTGATAACATGTTCAACACAGTTTTTCCAAAGCTCTTGGCGGTCTGCTGCTAGAACTTTCTTTACGAGTTCTACAACTTCTTTACTCAGTTCTGGAGACTGATTACATTTTTGTAATTCTGATTTTAAGTTTGCCAATATTAACTCTATAGGGTTAAATATGCAATAGTAAGGAGGTAGTCTGAGAAGAATTTGCACAGCTTGTCAATATAATACATTTTTTCTAACTTTATACCTTTAATAACAGTAAGCAATTGTTTGTTTGTTGGTCCTTTTTTACTATCACTGGCAGGAATAGGAATATTTTTTCAGACATAAAAGCTAAAATTTGAGCTTTTTTTACTGCTACTATTTGGTATTTTAAAGAGTTGCCGCGAGTGGTAGGATGCGTTGTTCATAACGATTACTGACTGTGGTGGAATGTAAGGTAAAAGCTGTTCATTAAACCGTTTTTCAAATAATTCTGCTGTCATATCTTCATGATAATCAGCTGCACAGTTTTTAATTTGTTTAGCAGATAATAATAAAGCATTAGGCACGAAACCGTCTTTGCTTCCAGCGTGTACTATTATAATGCGTTTCCCTTTAGAACATGGCCCATTCAAACAGCAATTTTTACTACTGCCAACCCAACCGAAATTTACTACATCATGACTGTCAAACCATGTTTCATCTAGGTAAATTATGTGTCTATTAGAACTTCTGTAGCCTTTTATCTGACGCAAATAATCTTGTCGCCATTGAACTATCCTTGACGATTCGGTGATTGCCATCTGTTTATTCAATTTTTTGTGTTTAAAACCACATGCTGACAAAACTTGACGCAATGTTTCCAAACTGGTATAAGTGTATCCTGGAAAATCTGCCACCTTTTGCTGTATTACTTCCAATGTCGGAACCCTGTTCTCCTTATATAAACTATAAATTGTCCTTCGTATAAAATCTTGGGTAGCTCTGTCAACTGATTTCAGTTTTTCTTTACATGTTTTTAGGTTTTATGAATAATCCACAGCAACCCCTTTCGTGACTACCGGATAAACGGAAAATTTATTTACTTTAGTTAATTCAGCAATTGTTATTATGAACGCATTATCAGACTTTTTTAAACATTCGAATATATTTAAAATAACTTGTTGTGTTTGTATATCTAAATCCTTATCGTTAAAGTCATACCTGTCTTTAATCTCACTACACTGTGCAATTTCATTTTCTTCATTCGCCCATGGTCTAAAGAACGCCATATTTATATTAAAAGAAATTTAAATTAAACCAACCACACATACAAAACACACCGCACGACAGTACTCCACTGATATCGCAGACTCTCTTCCAGGAATATTTTCGAACACCTGCCTTCCGTAAACCTTCGGCCAATACAGTGCATTTAAGTTTACGATTCGATGTTTTCATTGGTAAACAACTGATGGTTCGTTTAATATGTACCGCTTTGTATAACGGGAGTAAACATTATTTTTCGTTTCTTAATTTGGCATGAATACCGTGCGTATATATTAAATATTGATGATTCCCCACATAACTGTGTTCTGCAATTGATAATGGAAGGACTATACAAACAATGGAATAATGAAAAAACCTTGTTTATAAATAAAAATTGAAAAGTACTAATATTAAAACAAAAACAAGTTGATTTGATGTCACTTTCAGGACTTAGGGTCACAAAAACGTAACTACAAGTTAAGTTAGTGGGAATTATGTTCTTTTGATCCTACGTCCCTGTTTCATATTAATTTTCATAAAAATATTCTATTTCCTTACCTTTCTAGGTGACTTAGAAAGTGTATGTTCCTTGAAAGACAATTTATATTTAAAAGACCTTTATCTGACCGGCAACCCTTGTACCGACTATAATGGATACAGACAATACGTTATTGCAAAGTTGCCACAATTGAAGACGCTCGATTCCAAAGAAATTACAATAAGCGATAGAATAAAAGCCCAACAGAAGATTGCAGAATTAGAAAGAACAATTAGAAAACAACAATTAAAATATCAGACATTTAGAGAAGCGCAGAAAGAACGGATTTCTCGAGTGGATACCTCGAATATACCTGATGAAGAATTTTGGCAAATGACCAGCGAAAACTCTCCCGAAACGAGAACTGAAATTTGTAGTCGACAGAAAAAGAATGAAAGGAATTCTACAGATACATGCGAAGACAAACCAAAAAAACCTATTTCGCTGTTTCATAAAAGTGGCAGACCATTAAACATTAACCAAGCCAAACTGAAATTTTTGTTCAAAGACGACGATCCCAAACAGTATGTCTTGGAAGTTGAAATATACAAATATATGGATTCGAATCTAATCGATGTCGATCTACAGCCTATTTACGTTAAAGTCAATATTAAAAATAAAATTTTCCAATTCGTTTTTCCCGAAGAGATCGTCGTCGATAAAAGTATTGCGCAAAGGTCTCAAATTACTGGTCATTTGGTTTTGAAATTGCCCAAAGCGAATTATAAGGAGCCTCTTGGTAAAAAGGATATTAAAAATGATAAAATCGAGAAGAACCCGGAGAAAGAGAGGAAGGAACGAGAGTATTTAGAAGTGGAAGAGAAAAAGGATGATATGGATTTTAGTAAAATTGTTGAGAATAGTAACAAAGTTAAAGATCTGTGCTCAAATTCGGATATTCCGCCTTTAGAGTATGCTTGAGTTAATATAGAATGTTAAAAGTAAAATAATTAGTAAATAAATCTAAAAAGTTCGTGTTGTTTTTTAATATGTCATAGAAGGTTAAGTTTTATGGTAAAAATAAGTCTTTCTGCTCACAAAACAACATTTTTATTCATTCTGAAGGACCAGCTGTTTTAACCCTTAGGTTGGCAATATGATAGGATATATCAAAAGTATGCTAATATAAAAACAATTGTTCAATACCTGTATGTATTCTGGGTAGTATACATACATTTAGAACCATATTGGTCCATGAATTTGTCAATACGCTTGCTGTCAAATGATTTTAATTTAAGTTACAAAGTGACAACTTTCATAGTGATTCAGTATTAATGAACATCTTGAGATATAGCAGACTTGCAAGAAGTATTTGTTATTTTATTCAAATTATTAAGGTATATAAAGTAAAATTAAAAAGAAATGAAATTAAAATTCAGCCATGGATTACCAAGGGCTACTTACATCTATCAAACAAAAGAATACATTATACAAATTGATGAAAAATAATTATACCGAACAAAATAAAATAAACTTTAAAAATCACCGCAATTACTTAAATGTATTAATAAGAAAGGCTAAAACTGAATATTATAACCAAAAAATTGAAAAAAATAAAAATGTTACCAAAAATATTTGGAACTGCATTAAAGAGATATCTAATTCAAAAGGAACAACACAATCTATTACACAAATAAAGACTCCAGATGGAGATATTACAAATGACCCAGAAAAAATATCAAATATTTTTTGCGAACATTATACTACAGTTGGGGAAACTATGGCCTTAAAATTATCTAGAAATCAAAAATTAAAAATTTTTCAAAGAAAAAACAATAAATCAATATTTTTATCAAGTACAGACAACAAAGAAGTTACAGAAACTATCTTTTCCCTAAAAAATCTTAAAAAACCAGGTTTAGACAACATAACATCCGAAATTCTTAAAGAGTTATATCAAGAAATTTCTCCAGTATTGACCTTTCTTATAAATAAATATTTTTCAAATATTTCCAATATTTGAAAAAATTATTGAAAAGAGAATGACGTCGTTTTTAAACAAATATGCAATCCTTTCAGATAGGCAATATGGTTTTCGAAAACAAACCTCAACTTCGGATGCTATTGCAAGATTGACAAAACTTATCAACAATTCTATAGATGAAAAACAACCATCATTTTTGTCGATCTTGCAAAAGCATTTGATACGGTTAACCATCAAAAACTCTTAGAAACACTAGAAAATTACGGATTTAGAGGAGTAACGTACAAATTACTAAGTAGCTATTTAAAAAATAGAAAACAAATGGTTAACATCAACGATATCCTTAGTGATTACAAAGTTATTAAATGTGGTGTTCCTCAGGGAACAGTCCTCGGACCATTATTGTTTAATATTTATTTAAACGACCTATTTGAACAGAAATTCAAAGGAGAAGTTATCAGTTTTGCCGATGACACCTCAATTTTTTATCAACATAATAACTGGGAAACACTTAAAAATACCGCTGAACAAGATTTTCAAAATATTTCTAACTTTTTTAATTATAAGGCCCTTACTATAAACTATGAGAAGACATCATTCATACCTTTTACCTCATATAATAATAATCTACCAACATATAAGTACCTTCAAATAATTCAGAAAGGAAATCAACAAATAAAAATTAGGTCTACCAATAACACCAAATACCTAGGAATATACATAGATTCTCATTTAAAATGGGATTTTCATATCAATTATGTAATAAAAAAACTTCGATCAATTGTGTACAAATTTAAAAATCTTTCGAATTTATTAAATATTAAATATCTTAAAATATTATATTATGCTCTCGTGGAATCTCATTTATCCTATGGAATAATTGTATGGGGCTCCGCAGGAATAACACTTATAGAAAACTTACAAAAAATCCAGAAATGTATCCTAAAAAACATGTTTAAATTACCAAGAATTTACCCGACTGAAATGCTCTATACGCATACACAATTTTTTAATGTGTACCAATTGTATGCCAAAATTCTATTGTTAAGACAATATAAAGATAAAAAATACTCCGAACCTGTTATCCATCCATACAATACTAGACACAAAATTGATTCAATTACTGTACCAAGAACAGCAAAAACAATCGGCCAGAAATGCTTTACTTATCTGAGCCCTAAATTATATAATGAACTCCCCTCTGATATTAAAAAAATCAACTCATATAATTTATATAAAAAGAAAATTACAGAATGGATTCTAAGTTTACCATTCACAAAGTTAAAATAATTTCTTCATTCAAGTATATTTTGTTATAGTCTGAAAGATTACTGACATTCTTTCACTCGCGAAATTACGTGAAACTCTCAGCGCTTATCTCCAAGAATAACTAAATAGTTACCTATTTTATGTTTTTTATTTTAAATATTTTACAAAATTATTATTGTTGAAGCATGGAATAATGTACCTAATGTACCTATGTATTATAAATATTGTATTTTTTATGGTAAATAAAAATTACTATTACTATTACTAAATTACTATTTATTAGAATTAAAAATATAAGATGTGTTTCCAAATAATAATAAGTCGTATTTATACTTATAAACATTATTTTTGTAAAATAACTAGCCCGAAAGGACAGAAAGTAAACGTATCTTATTGGATACATTGCCAAGTTCCTAAGTATACCTTATTTTGTTTTATTTCTATAAAATGTGAAGTGAATTATTTTACACAAAGACAATAATTTGTCACAAAAAATAAAATTATACTATAATTAAATTTCTTTATAGAATTGTCGTTTCCGGGCAGCATACAGTCAGTGTCGGCCACCGAATGTTTTCCAATAGGCTTTGCATAAGTCCATATGAAAATTACATATCATTAGCGCGAGCAGGAAATGAATAATATCAGCGTTGCCAGTTTATACGTGGTAACAAAACAATTTGCTCAACGAAATATCCGTTTCAACAATGTGGGGCATTTTGCAAGGAAAATGCCGTTTATGTCAAAATGGCCAGACTGCAATTTTTTTCCAAAATATGTAACAAAAACATTGCGACATCTTAGTTTACTCTTTTATCCTGCATTTCCCGTGTTCAGATACTCTTGTCCTGTCTTTTATAAATTTTGTTAGAGATTACTTTCCAAGTATTCTTGGAACACTCTTTCCAAACTATAAAGGTGACGACCTAGAGTGTTAGCGTCCGATTAATTGAAGAGCACACAAAAAACGATGAAAATCACTTTTTTTAAATTAGTTAAATACAAGATAAAATAACTGAGAGTCTGTAGTATATGCTGAACTGGTTTATACAATCTAGTTACGGAGTTATTTCAAAAACAAAAAATGGTGTACTCATCAAAAAGATAAATGTCACGGGTAAAAACGGTAAGGCTAGTGTGCGTGAAGAACAAAGACATGACGTATTTCAGATAATATTATCTAATAAATATTGCACAGCATGACTCATTTTCATTAATATTCCTGCTCTAAGTGCATTTTGGTTACAAAACTTAAAATTAAATTTACAGAGAATTAACTTTTAATGACATTCATCGTTTTTGCTTTGGACTCTTCAACTATAATAAACATCCTAAATTTCATTGAAAATAGTAAATACCCGGTCATTTGATCGGAATCCTATACCGAAAGCAACAAAACCGGACGTCAGAAAATGCCCTTAGAAGCATTTTTATATTATTCATTTTATTGTAGGCAAAATCAAATAAAAGTTCTATCGATGAAGAACTTTACTTCAATTTTATAAGTCACATGACCGCTCCACTGCCTGGACATAGTATACCTTGTTCGTCCGTCTCTCTTGCGGATAAAAATGGGACGTGCCACTTGTTGCTGTAAGCTAAGGGACTGCCTAATTACATGAATGGTTATCCTCTCCGTAGCTCATAGCTTAGAGTGGGATCAGTGATTATTATCTGGAAAAGTTAAATGTAGTACAAAAATCTGATGTGTCCAACACATGACTTTCCTATCTAGTTATATAAATGTTTAGAGGCTAAACTAAATATATACATTGTCCACATACATCTACCTCGAAACATTTTTCTATAGATATTCATGGAAAACGAAAATAATGAAAAATTTTAATTTCCTACAATTTTTTCATTACGGTCCATTTTAGAAAAATCATGTATAAACAAAAATTATAGAGATCGATATCGCAAACAACTTTTATTTCAAAAACTTTCATAATAAAAATCAGAATTTTGCACATTTTGTCAAATTTCTCGAATACGGACCATTTCAGGAAATTTTTACATAAAACAAAAATTACAGATAATAATATTAGAAGTAACTTTTATTTGAACAATTTTCCTCTCCAAACATAAATAACAGATATATTCCATAAAATATAAAAACGGCCTCCCATAAAGTACCCCCCCAGATGTTCCGACTTTGTCCAAAATCTAATCATTTCACGTCAGGCCGAAATAAACCTTAAGTTTAAAATTTAATGTTTTTTTCTTTATCCGTTTTTGAGTTTTTTTTCAAAATTCGAAATTTACACATTTTCTCAAATATCTCAAATACGGTCCATTTTAGAGAAATTATGTAAAGAATAAAAATTATAGAGAATTATATTACAAACAACTTTTATTTGAACAATTTTTATAAAAAAATATTTTTTTTACATTTTGTCAAATTTCTCGAATACGGACCATTTTAGGAAAATTTTGTATAGAACAAAAATTATAGACAATAATATTAGAAGTAACTTTTATTTAAAGAATTTTCTTCTCCAAACGTAAATAACAGATATATTTCATAAAATATAAAAATGACCACCTATAAAGTACCCCCCCAAATGTTCCGACTCTGCCCAAAAACTAATCAGCTCATTAGACGCTGAAACAAAGCTTAAGTTTAAAATTTGGTGTTTTTCTGTGTATCGGTTCATGAGTTATGCGTTATACAGACACACACACACACACACACACACACACACACACACACACACACACACACACAGACACACACACAGACACACACACACACACAGACATCATCGCGAAAATAGTCAAAACGGATTCAGGGGACCTCAAAACGTAAAAATCCGTCGAAAACTCGAGGTCGAAAAAAATCATGATTCCTATACTTTCCTTATATCTGTATACAGATAGGAAAGTAAAAATGGACATTAAAAGTTATGTAGCGTTTATACTCGAATAGACATAAGGCAAATATACCTACAGTATGTTACCTTTCCCACAATGACAGCAGAAGAACGGTATATAATAAGTTATGCTGTTGTTTGGAACGAGGTAGAACAGTGCGCGCAAGCCCACTAGTGGTAGAGGTGTAGTATCCATCTCTCCAATCATGACAGACAGTCACCCGATTCACAAAAGACTCTTTTTATTTATCTCACGTGCAAATATAAGTAGGCATCTCATTAGGCGTCTCATTAGGCGTCTCATCGTTTCAAAGGACACATGGGTTAACATAGTGTATTGTTTAACTCTCTTAACAAAGAGATAAAACTGATACAAATAGAACATACCTACAATACAAGACGAGTTACTTTTTCTATCCCACGCTGCAATAAAACCATTGGACAAAGACATTCTAGCATTATAGGTTCAAAATTTATTTAAGGCGGCGTTAGCAAATGTATTAGCATAGGAGAATCTAAGTTAAAAGGGAATGGTTATTAAACACAAACAAATTTGTTTTATACTTTAATAAATTAATTAGGTTAATTAAATATAATAATAATGGATTTTTCAATAGGTATATATAATTAGAAATAACTATATAAAGTGGCCAAAAACGTTCCTATTCGGAGCTACGCCACTGTTCGTTCTCTAGATCCATATTTTGGGTGGCTCAATCCTATTCTCTTAGATAACTTAATGTCCCTCCATTTTTCCCTATCCTGTACTTCTTTCATTTCCTTCAGTTATCCTGATTTGGGTCTTTCACGTCTCCTCCCTTCTGGGTCCCATTGTAAAATTGTTTTATTTTTGTTATTGTCTTCTTCTAGCTCTTGTTTAATTTCCTCATTTGTTCTAATTCCGTATTCTTCTTGTGTTATTTTAATTGATCCTAATATTGCTCTAATAATTTTTCTTTCCATAATTTTTAGATTTTCTTCCCCTTTTTTTGTCCTGTGCTGAATACACTAATATTGGTCTGATTATTGTGATGTGTTCTCATTTTCGTGTTTTTGTGAATAATTTACTTTGAAGTAATTCTTTGTTTGCGTGGAAGACTTTATTTCAAGTTTTCAATAATTGTTCCTTTACCTTCCCATATCATTTCCTGAATTGCTTCAACATCTAGACCGTATCTACTGAGTTCTTTTCATATTTCTTACATATATTTTTATATCATGAACACTAAATGATGAATTCAAAATTTTATTTGTTGGATATGGATTTGACGATATCACGATGATTTACCTAAACATATTAAGTTGAATAGGGAAATTACCCGCATTATTTTAACAGGTGATTAATTAAGGAAAATTGAGAAAAAAACATTTACAGACTTCTCATTTAACTTAATTTTTGATACACAATTCCAGGCCTTGATTTAGATTTAAAAAAAAAAGTTATTTGAAAAATATGTTTATTTTAACGAATTTTATAAACTGTTTAAAATAGTATCATTTTAATTTCATGTATATTTTTATTTGTACATTTTTTTATATTGTGAAAAGTATTGTCAAAAACCCAAGTTACTACAATAAAGTATATCAACTCTAAAATATATATATTCATATCGTATAAAATGAACATGCACATTCATGTAATATAAAAAAATTAAACTACATTGTGACCTTTCATTGTTTCAGGAATACCTAGAAAGGATAGTACGGTGGCGTTTAGAACGCGGGGTGTCTGAACAAACAGAATCCCTAGTGAGAGGCTTCTATGAAGTCGTAGATCCGAGACTAGTCAGCGTCTTCGACGCCAGAGAACTCGAATTAGTGATAGCCGGTACGGCAGAGATCGACCTTATCGACTGGAGGCACAACACTGAGTACCGAGGAGGATACCACGACCAGCATCCTGTGGTTATGTGGTTTTGGCAGGCCATCGAAAGGTTAGAAAACATGTTATAATATTAAATAATAATATTTCTTCTTAGTTTTAACAAATTGTGAACTGTTTCTCACCCTTTATTATTTCTTGCGATCTCAAATACTCATTTTTCCCGTTTTAACTATTTTCTTTTTATATTACCTTAGTTTTGCACATCCTCTTAAGCAAACACATTTGGTTAATTTTTTCATAAAATAATACAATTTATTTTTTAGGTTTACCAATGAACAAAGACTCCGCCTCCTCCAGTTTGTAACCGGAACTTCGAGCATCCCGTTTGAAGGTTTCTCCGCCCTGCGAGGTTCGATAGGGCCCCGAAAATTCTGCATCGAGAAATGGGGCAAGCCAAACAGTCTTCCAAGAGCGCACACCTGCTTCAACAGATTAGATCTGCCTCCGTACCCGACTTCGGAAGTGTTGTACGAAAAGTTGCTTCTCGCCGTCGAAGAGACGAACACTTTCGGCATCGAGTGAATCAGTACTTACTTTTATTTTCGTGTGATTTTTTCGACATTTAAAGTTGTTTATTTGTTGAAAGTTGAATTGGGTATTCAATTTTCTAGATATGACGCTTTTAGTTTCAAAGGCATTTAATTTTCGTCAAATGTTCAGCTAATAAATCTATGCCTGATTTATTTACTATGCAGTAAAATGTCCGCTGCTCTGAAAACTATTGCAGTTTTGCACCCTCTAGCCAGCTTTTCTATGGTTGGTTTCTTCTCAGCCCTATGCTTTATCAAGACTCCTAAATCTTTTTTACTATTTGAAAATTATGACTGTTGCAGTGACTTACACGCGCTACATATCCTCATACTTGCATTGTGCCACAAGTCTCAAACGCTTTCTGTTACATGGTAAGTCCTAAAGACAACATCTTATTAGCAACCTCAGTTGCCTAGGATCTATTATTTGTATTGATACATACATCATTATAACTTTTATAATTCCCAACAATTTTATTTATTACGGGATAATACAACAATTTAAGATCCCACAGTGGGGCCTTATTTTGTTATAGATACATCCCATCATTAATTAAATATATTGAAGGGATAGAAATATATTGAAGGTAAAGGAACGAACAATCGTGTATGTAAAAGGTAAAATGTTCTAATGATGTATAAAATATAAATAAATCATAGGTCCTTAGTAACTAAGGTCGCCAACGAGATGAGCTTAATCTTTTGTCTTTAGGACTACCATGTAATAGAAAGTTGTCAAAGGGTGATGGATGTTTACCACATGTAATTCAATACAAGTATGAAGTAGAAAAGTAGTATGTTTAAGACATTTCTGTTTCTATATAGTACAGTTCTTGTTGTCTTTATTTGAAGCTTCCATGTTGAACACTACAGTCGACATTGGACTTATGGACTACAAAAGTTGACGAAATCTAATTCGATTTTGCTTCGTCCAAGATGGATATCTTATTATTTTTGGTCGACATTTACCATTAAATGGTTCCATTACAAATACTTCTTCTGCAATGTTGTCTAGCGGTTAGATTTTAATTAATTATTTTCTTCTAAACGCTGTGTTAGTAATCCTGGTTTGTTAGGATTTTGTTGGTGTATGGCCAAAATCTTTAAAATAGTTAAGAAACTCTTTTTACATCTGGGCGTGATAATATCTCTTACCAATAACGTCACAGTGACGGATTTTGGAACAGCAGTTGCTGACTGCAATATAATTTTTGACTAAAATCCTTTTAAAAATTAATTTAAACCTATGAAAAAATAAAAATGTCTAGAAAATTGAATCGCCAACTACATTTTTATTTCTTTGGAAATATCTAACGGGCGTTTTTTAATTATCATTTCCGAATAAGTTAATATTTAAGTTATTTGGAAAAAAGGGTATCTGAGCTTTCGAGCCAGTCTAGAGTCGGAAAATGTTGGTGCGTTTCGATGGAAATTCCAGAAACGTCAAATTGAATTTGACATTTGATTTGTCGACAAGTGACAGCTGACATCTCTCAAATTTGATGGTTTCTTTTATAGTTTTTTATGGAACGTAGCAACGTTTAAGGGAGAAGGTATATCTTGACTATAATTACTTACCAAATAATAATTTTAATTTTTTTTTTTTTTGTATATTTTCGAACTGTGTATAGCCTCATATTTTTAAGTTTTGTACATTTAATTTATTCGTTTGTACTTTTTTGTTACAAATTCAGTCATAATTTATTAACAAATGTCTTATTCTATTTATGAAATTAGAGTGAATAGGACTCGAATCGGGATAGTTAACTGATCGGTTCTAGTAGGTATTGTCCAGAATTTGAGTTTTTAAATGTTCTTATTGAGATTTTGATATTTGTTACATTAATTTATTATTCTATAGTATGTAATAAGTTACCAATGATTATTCTTCTTAGAGTTAGTGTTTAGATTGTTCTTTTTTAATAATGTTGTGATTTGTTAAATTCTAGTCAGTAAAATATATGAATATTCAATGTACAGGATGTCCTTTGTTTGTAATAAGCTGAATAAATTTTAAATATTTTCTAATTTACATTTTATAATTCTTGCAATTTCAATATTTTAATGGTGCGTATTTAAACGAGAAAAAATAGTAAATTTGTGCTTAGTTTGTCAGTTTCTGATAAAAAATCAAGCCTTTTTAAATGATAAAATGAATGTAGGACATTCTATACAGTAACACACATTAGTGTTATTACAAGCCTTTTATTGTCAAAATTTAACCGCCTTGTTGCGTATTTTTTTTTGTAATATGGTTTGTAACATTCCATAAAATAAAAGATATTTGTTATGAATTTGTTTTTTTTTATACTTCAAAAAGTTTAGTATCTACTGAAGTATTGGTTCGCGAATTGGTCTACTAAAAACAGACGAGTATCAGGCCTGACTCATTGGCGAGAACAAAATATTGGAGAAGGTGAGTCATAAAATGTGTATTGGAGATGGTGGAAAGCAAGTGGACTGTATATTTAATGTTGAGGGATGTTACTTCTTCAAAAAGTTTTCGCCCTAACCAATACAAGAGACCAAATTGTTTGTGTAGAACTCACAATTTTCACACGAATAAAAGTCATACACATACTAAATGATTTATTTAAAAAACAGAGAAGTCTGAAGGACTTCTCACAATAAAACTATAATGATCAAAAATAACAGAAATGTCTTGCCTTTCACGTGGCAACACTGCGCGTTTAGCCGAATTCTCCTTAAAATTAAATACAAAAAAAAATTGTCAAAAAAAACTTACATATGTGTCACTTTCAGCACTGATTTTATTTTTTTTGTGTCATCGGCATCAACTGCTACGGTTATTAGCCTCGTGTAGGCTTTGTTCTGTGTTTCCCAGCGCCACTTTAGGAACAGCACTGTTAATTAGTACCCAACAGTGAATGGTCGAGTGGGGAATCCTACCAAGGCATCAGAATTAATTTCAAATAATAAAATTAAATGAAAAAATCCTTGCCAACGGTGGGTGGTTTTATTTATATTATAGTCTAAGATCCGAAATAAGATCGACCTTCACCCATCTGTTTAATGGATGAAACTTTCTTTTTATTAAATAAAATATCTTTTTAAATATACCGCAAATGGGTTGCCTAAGAAAATTCGGTCCAGACTATTTATTTTCTTAAAGTAAAAAAACGACACCCTGTAAAGTATTCCCTAAATGCTTTGACTGTGCCCAAACTTTAATCAGCTCATCGCAGGATAGATTAAACCTTATGTTCAAAATTTGGTTTTTGAGTTATCTTCAAAATTCGAAATTTAGGTCCATTTTAGGAAAATCATGTATAGAAAGAAACAAAATAATAGAGAATGACATCATAAACAACTTGTATCATGATTCCTATACTTTCCTTATCTGTACACAGAGAGGAAAGTAAAAAATGGCCGTGACCGTATTTTCTTAGGCAACCCATTTGCGGTATATTTAAAAACATATTTAATAAAAAATAACTTTTATCCATTAAACAGATGGGTGAAGGTCGACCTTACTTACGGATCTAAACTATTAGTTAAAATATCTAATTGAACTTATATGGGCTCGTATACATCTTGAAAATAGAGATTTAACATATGGGTTGTTAAAAAAGACATTTTAGCCGTTTTCACCGCTAGCGCTAGCGCACAAAACAACACCATTCTTCTTTGAGTAGTGGGGTCACATACTTTGATTACTATACGATGCAAGAGGGAGGTCCGACACGCCCAACATAGGGCGCGGCCATTTTGATGCCTTTACCACAGTTTATCTCAATGTTCCAGTTTATACACTGCGCAACTCGGATAATACAATATATGAAAATAATAATAAATAATAATAAATCTGCAGTCTTCTGCGCATCCTGAATTTGTATCCGTGGAGTGGATGTTATTTTGGAACTTTCAACTGGTCGGAGTGAGCTAACTGATTCTTTAGCAATAAACTGACTCCAAAAATAATATTCACTCACACTGATAGCAGCAAACAAAATATTAAAAATATTGCGCCAAGATGTAGGCAACACGTAATAAGGCATCAAAATGGCGGAGTTTTCTATCTCCTTTTAAAAGGCACTCAGAAAGCTGCGCAGTGCGACCATTCTCCGTATAGTAAAGGCTGTATGTCACGATACTAAATTTAGGACTAAAAATATTTTTTTTCCGTTTGCAACGATACCAATTTTTAGTACTAAATTTACTATAGGCGCATGCGCATTGACGTATTAATACGTGAAATTAGCAGAGAAATGAAATATTCTGTGTGAAACAGACAAGTGAAGTAAATGGTGTTTTTATTATCAATTTGACACTAGTTGACTTGACAACAACCAAATACAGCATAATAACGAAAAATAATACCATTAATTAACCATGAAACTTCGAAAAATTGTATAGGTCACAGGTTGTAGGAAATCAATTTTAATTGAGAGGTCAATATAGTGTCCTGGCGTAAAACTAACTTGGAAAACTAGGCTGTAAAACTAAGTTGTAAATCTAGGTTGTAAACTAGGTCCTAAATCTAGGTTGTAAATCTAGGTTGTAAAAGTAGGTTGTAAAACTAGTTCTTAAAAATAGGTTATTAAACTAAACTAGGTTGTTTGTTAAACTAGGTTATTTGTGTTGGAATATTAATCTTAAAGTCTATCTATTTACTAGTTGTTTTCGTCAGTTTGTTGTCATGTTTTGATGTTTTTTCAAAAATATTGTCATACAGCTTTTACATTTTCTTATCAAGACATTTTATAATCATTACAGGTTATGGGCTCAGACCATGACTAGTTAGAACGTAAAATACAAAGGTTTTGTAAATTTCAAAAATGTTTGCAGATGCCAATGCTTCTCTTCCTCCTATCTCTAATTTGATTTTCAGCATGGCTTTATTAAGGCCAGGAATACAACGTCCAATCATTGCATATTTACACAGTTTGTGTCCGATTCTTAGATTCCCAAAAACAGGTAGATGTTGTATATACTGACTTTAGCAAGGCCTTTGATAGAGTTTCCCATGGT